TGTACATGTTGGCCAAGAATAGATTTATATCATTTCTATATCATTAACGCTCTTTCTGCTCTTTATTTCCTTAGTTCCTTTATGTACACTCGTCAACAAAATTATCGCATAGGTTAATTCATGTCGAAATTTCGCACAATTTTAAATGAGTATAATACCGCGGAACATCGTATTTGAAATCTTTTTGTAATATTTCAAGAGTAAAGTCTGTACTTTAAGGAGTATTAGTCGATATTAACGATAAAAACGCACAAATCCGCTTTTTGTTTTAATTATAGGGAAAAGACTATACTTTACGATGGTTATCATAAAATTTACGAAAAAAATTTATTCCATCCCGTAGGATACGTCACATTGTGCAATTTTTTGGAGACACAACACGTCTTTACTTGTGAAAAGACTGCGGAAAGGGGAGAGAATAATTTCGAAATATCTTACTAATATGCTCTTTAAAGTACAGACTTCACTTTTGAAATAAAAAGAATTTTTTCAAATACGATAATGTTTCGCGGTATTATGCTTATTAAAAATTGTGCGACATTTTGACATAAATTAACCTATGCGATAATTTTGTTGACGAGTGCATTTTACGTGTAAAAAAACATTTAATGTAACAATTAGTTAAATAATAAAAGTACGCACACGTGAGAAGCAACACGCGAGCGTCGAGATATAATAAAAAGGCCTAGGCATGATTCTCGCCGTTTGCAGTATTAGCTATAGCTATAGGTCGGGAGAGAGACGGCAGCTTGTACGTCTGCACTCTTCCATCACCCAAGCCTGGCCGAAGCGTCAAGCGCTATAGTTCGTGACAGGCAGCCCACACATACACAGTTCTTCGCTTGTGTGCGCTGCACCGCACACACTATAGTTACGCGTACTCGGTCCCACATGTGGTAGCTCTGCGTGTATGTAGAGATGAAACAACGAAGCCGCAACACACTCTTAGATTCAGTGTCGATTCGGCACACGGATATGTCATGCACACGTTCAGTGTATCAAGCCCTCATTATGGCTGCGTTCCGAAATGCACTGCCAGTGTACTGAAAATCTATAGTTTATTACGTATATTATAGAATTTCAGAGAGTCGATCATGTATCTTTTCACCTAGGGTGAATTCGTGAAAAAGTGAAAATTTTCACGTAAAGCGGAAAAGTGAAAATTTTAGTGCGAAAAAGTGAAAACTTTTATATAAATTGATATTTCCTGTGAAAAGTAATATCCATATTCATAATAAGTTAATCAATTACGATAGCTGCTGCATGGTGGATAGTTAATGAGGAACAAAACGAAAGAAACGAGAATTTACGTATTATGCATAAAATTTTAAGAGATACTCAAGATCCTTTTGATATCCCAGAACAACAATTTCAGGAATTATATAGGTAATAATAATTATTATTATATTATTGTAATTAATTTTATTATTTTATTATTTTATTTTTTGTTTGTGTGTTACATTTATTCTAAAAAATAATATATAACATGAAGAAATATTATAAGCAAACATGAGAATATTTATAATCTATTATTTTACTCACTTTAATGTAATTATGTTCTATGCAAATGCGCTGGATGGAGTTAATACATATACTATAGTAAAACTATATATCAACTCGACCCAACTCTGGGTATTTCGAAAGCATCCATGGCCTAACACCCAACAAAGAAATCACTAGATTATTTTTATTTTACCATATAAATACTACAAATACACACACTTACTTTTCACGTTTTAGCCTACTATGTTGATGGCTAATGGCTCCTGCACACAGGATGCTTGTTTTTCCGTAAGAGCTAGAAGGTTATTACGGAAAGTAATATATTGATTGGCTGTCGCGCGGACTTCCGCCGCGCGGCAAGCATTACCGCGTCCTGTGTGCAGGAACCATAAAAATAGTATAATACTATCATCATGCGCAAATATGTAAATTGTAATATTACGCATGCGTATTCCACAATTCAAAACAATGTGGACAACTGCTTCAGTGAATTTTACTTTGTATGGTTGCATACTTTTTTAAAATTGAAATTATATGATAAAGAATTTTGCATAAAATATACAAAGAAAAGATTACAACAGTATATTATGCATTATAAATACAGATGTGCATTAAATAAAACAAGTTTATAATAACTATTACAAATATTTAGAAATTGCTCACTTTTCACGATTTCATGCTAGAGAAAAAAGTTATATGATCGATAGTAAAATTAAACTCACGTGAAAAGATTCATGATTGATGCCCAGTACTGGCAGTGAATTTCGGAACGCAGCCTATGGCCCATATTCTGAATCCTTTTTTATTTATAAAAGTGCCTCTAAAAAAGGCTTAAGAGTCACCTGATTGGGTGAGAAGCTACATTTAAGACACTTTTATCGATAAAAGAGGATTCAGAATATAGGCCTATATCTCGTAGCTATAAGCGGAGGGACGCAGCGAGTCGCGCGATTTGCGTGTATGGCTTCGGTCGCGCGTCGGCCGAAGACATCTTTCTTTCGGCTGGCGCTTCCTCTGCTCTCATTAGCTGAGACAAAATAATTAATTTCTCAAAAACTATTGCGAATATCGCAAAACGGCACAGGACTTTCTTGCTCACCTCAATCCGTTTTACGTTCTCACAAAGGGTCATCATGGATGTCTGAGACACCCTATTTCAGTGATTTTAATCCATTAACGTTCAAATACACAAAATTTTTTAAGTGTTTTCGAACGTCTATAACTCAATGAAAATGCAATAATTTTTTTTTTTTGAAAAAGCTTCTCTAGTATTTTTAGGTGTGTTCTTTCCAATTCTGGACTGTAAAATACTCAAAAATGTTATTTAATATTAGTTTTTTTAACCCGGAAGTGGGCGCGTATCGGTCATTTCCCCGTACTTTTTCGTTTTCTACTTATATCATCTAATCTATTGATATTATCGTATTTTCGTTTTTACCTAAATTTTCTTTGATGTTTTATCGTATAGCATGGAGAAGTAGACGGCGTAGACGTGCTTATTTCTATGTGAAATTTGATACGTTTTTAGGTATAAAAGAACACTACTAACGTCCCAGTTAACATAAAGTAACAGTAACATAACATCAATGTTACAATTTCCTACTCAATAATGTTATATAACGTGCGTGTTATAACAGTTACATTGTTGAGTAGGAAATTATAATTGATAACATATATTAATATTAATATTATATTATATTAATATTATATTGATGTTATGTTACTGTTATTTTGTGTTTACTGGGTTAGTCTTTTATCTCTGCTGCGTCAGCGTCGCTCGATATGCCGCCGAACGTCTATTTTCTTTCCGACATCGTAGTTGGACGGACGGTTTTCTCTTTTTTTGTTGAATCAATAAAACTTTTAACAGCACGCGTAATTGGAGTATATTTTTTTAATTCAATAGCAATATTATTAAAATTAATATTTGAATTATTGAAACAATACATAATGTGATAATTTTAATATTGCCATTAAATCAAGAAGATTTATTCTCTATTTCTAAATTTATCAAATAAATTTTTAAGTTTAATAAATCAATGTTTAAATTAATCAAAGTAAAAGCAAGAAATTCTTATTTTATTTTATTAAACTAAAAGAATGTTATTTTTTACTAATGCAGTTAAAATAAAAATATTATAATTTTATTTTTAATATATTCACATCTGTATAATAAGTTTAATATGTTTTCTAAACATATTAGATATAGAAATGGTAAGGAGAAAAAAGATTGGAAAAAAGAAATAGTGACATAATAAAATTATTTCCTTCAATCATTATGTTTCTTTTAATAATTAGATTGATAATTTATTAATTATTACTTAATTATTACACATATATGTGCTTAAATATATTTCGGTCGAAATGACCGATACACGCCCACTAACGTTGGTCCCGTTAACGCGTCCACTCCCGGGTTAAGATTTAGATTTAAAAAATCACAACTTTTACAGTATTTTTTCATAATTATCTCAGATTTTTTTTTGCAAAACACTGTTTTCTCAGGGTACCAAGTCTATAAAACGTGCAAAGTACTTTTACTTTAAAAATATACCGGTGGTTTTTTTCAAAATAATCATGGCGATCTCAAAATTGCAGCCCAATATATAGAAATTTCGCTCATTCGCTCAGAAAATTAAGAATTCTTATTCCCTGTTCTAATTGCTTGTTGCTTCCCTTATAGAAATTTAATATTGATAAGTGATAATTACTGTCGTTCAATAATTTTATTACTCGTACGAGTAATAAAATTACTATTTATTACTGGCCAATTTATCACAGCCAGTGATACTTTTCTATAAGGGTTGGCATTGTGTATAAAGCGTTAAAGCTGATTTATGATGGCCGTAACCGTTAACTTATGATATAATCTATAAGGAATGGACCAATCACAGTCGATTATTACAAGAATAGTCAAGCGATTTGTCCATTTCTTATGGATTACAGCATAAGTTAACGGTTACGAATATCAAATCGGCCTTTATTCTCTAGGCGGAAATTGGGATATTCTTTTTTTAAAGCTATAGTAACGTACTTCCGGACACGCGGATGTGCTGCCGCGCGTAGCAGCTTGTGGCGGAAGACTACGTCACAGTCTAGTTCCACTGTCCACGGAAGTCGGATCGGTAGCCACTCTCAGGCTTATCTCTGGTTCAGTATATGGAATAAAGACACGAGGTTTTCAATCTTGAAGTATAGTACACAAGAAATACTTAGAAATGTATATATTTTATATTTCATGTATTTTAATAATATGAAAACGCATTTTTTATAATATACTTATAAAAACTATAAAATATATTTATATAAATTTATTTAATGCTTATAACAAATTTTAATTAACAGAAAATGAATGATGAAGAAATGAAGTGTTCAGATGAGGAAAATGAATTTTACTTTGAATCCGATCACTTGGCGTTAAAAGGTAACAAGGATTATTGTGAATTCGTGAAAACAATTGTTATCCTTGAGGCGCAAAGGACTCAAGCTATACAAGATTTGGACAAGCTCATGTCCATACAATCCAAGGCGATAAATGATCCAATATCATTTGTGGCACAGTTGCAAACTGGTGATCTTCCAGAACTACCTGGTCTACAGAAGATTGCAGAGATACCTTATATTAATTGGTCGCAATATAAGATAGCAATTCCAGATATACGTATGAGACCACAGACTCGACATGGAAATGTGATATCTCAGACTCATATAAAGAATGAAGAAGAAAATGGAAAGGTACTATTACATACTATAATATTATATATATAAAAATTTAATATTCTGTAATTTTATATGCAGTAATAATATTTACTAACAAATATATTCCCTTGAAGATTCTTGTCCGAGGCCGTGCTTTTGATGCAACCAAGCCTGAAACTTTCAATCAATTATGGACATTTGAGGAACAAAAGCGGCTAGAAGAACTTTTAATAGAGTATCCACCAGAGGATGTCGAAATGAGACGTTGGACTAAGATAGCCAAAGCATTGGGTAAGTTTAAAATAAGCAGTCTTACAAGTGCAATATTGAAACAATTTCTTGTTCTAGGAAATCGAACACCTAAGCAGGTATCCAGTAGGGTTCAAAAATACTTTATCAAGCTTTTGAGAGCAGGTTTACCCATACCGGGAAGAGGACCTAAAGTTAAAATAGACTTCAGGAAAAGTTTGACCCACAAACAACGTAACAATAACTTCTTAATGAAACGATCAACATTTTTCCCACATCAAGATATTTCTTTTGATACATTTGATGAAAATAAAAAACAGTCTGTTGCAGAAGAATATGTGAGTATTTAAGTACTTGTACCATTCTTTCATGCAACATACAAATTATATTTATTAACATTATTATATTCATTATATCAGGGAGAAGATATAATAAATGAAAAGACAGTTGATATCTCTGAGTTAAAACCAAGAGATTTCTCACATCTATTAAAGACTGAAGAAAAGGAAGATCCTTCAACACACAAAAATGAGTACAAAGTATGTACAACTTCTTTTATTAATGTTATATGTATAAATAGTTAAATTTACCAACAATATTCTTGCAGTGTACAATATGTAACGAACTTATAAGAAGTACCAGATGGCATTGTACAGTTTGTCATGATAAAATTGATCTATGTGGTAATTGTGCAGTAGCACGAATAGAAAATCATACGCACAATCCATATCATAAATTAATTCCTATAATAAAATCACCACCATATACTAAAAGTTATGATATTGATTATCTTCCACAAAGTTTTAATAATTGTGACAACTACCTCGATCCAAATTTCATGCCCGAATAGCCCGCGCATTTTATCAAATTTAAGAGATGACTACTGATAGGAAAGAGAAGACCCTGACTGGAGTAAAAATTAGGTAAGATTTGTAGTAGTAAAAATTATAAATAGACGTATTCATTTTTTGTCATGTATCTCTACTAGCATCTTTACTAAGTACCTCTATTTACTTAGTACTTAGTATCTCTACTAAGGAGATACTGAAGTCGAAAACGGACAATCTCGATAATGTAGAGACGATCACTAACACAATCATGCTATCCTTTTCGTATTTCTTATACATACAAAATTTAGTAAATGTGTGTTGCTTTGTTATACCATATCCAGCTTAATCGCTTGCAAATGTTATTTTGTGGATATATCTTTTTATCATGGACTTTTTAAAAAATGTAAAAGGCTCTTTTAAAAAGACAAATTTAAAAACCATTATTTATTTTCGAATTTTTTATTTGAAATATTGAATTTTATTTTTTGTAACTTCTGTTTTGCGAAATATAATTTTTTTCAAAATACACTGTGATAAAATCGATAATTCTAATGAATAAAAAAAAATGTATTGTTACTGATTTCAGATCACTCCTGTTGAGACCAGAATGGTTATACCATTAAAGCATGATTCTTTTGTGGAACAGAATTGAAATAATGTTAACATTCACCATAAAATCTAGTTTTTTTATACAAAGATATTGTTAAATGTACTTAATAGACATACATAACAAAAAATTTCTATTAACTTATATATTACAACTTCCCGAATTGCATCAGGATCATGTAACTCTTTAAATAAAACAAATATATGTGAGAGAGAGAGAGAGAGAGAAAAGACAAAAAGAGATATAGAGAAAAAAATAGGGATGACAAATAGAAATATATTATATTATTAATAAATATACAAACAACTTAAACAAGTAAAAATTTATTACTTTTTTCATATTTAATACAATTTTTCATTTAAAGTTGGTGGTTGTATACTTTAAGTGAATTTTTGTTTTAAGTTGACCAAATGTTCCATTTTTTAAACTATCGCGTATGGCAGTGAAGAATGCAAGATAGTAGTGAGTGTTGTGTCTGAAATCGAGATTACCATTAGCTGATTGCATATAATTAGATTGAATTAAAATCCACAAATACGTACATCATTAAAAGTACCGAACCAAGCATTTCTTGAGTATGTTTCAAATGATGAAGATATGCTCTTGTATGATTCCGACATGTAAGACACGTGCAGTTTGTACAAATAGGAGAAAAGTCATCTTTGTATCTAAAGAAAGGAAATATATATGTATATGAAAACATGAATAACACAAAGTATATAGATTTGATTGCATTCTAAATTACCTTTTTTCTGCTACTGATATAGCACATAGATTTTCGCAAGTATTGTCATCACACATGAAAACCAAAGCCTGTGATTGTTCAGTAATTACATAAGGATAAGACGAGTCGAATACATCTACTCCTAATTCAACTAGATCGAGTACTGTAGCTGGATTCCAACAACCCATTGATACTCTTATTTTATCAGCAGGCAATAAGTTCTACAAGATATAGCATTATTAGTAGTATTTTAAATTTCCTTATAACAAGTCCTATATCTTAGAAATTATTACTTACAGTGGTATGTTGCACTACATGTTTAACTAATTCAGATGGAATGTTTTGCACACTTGGTCCATTGTTATGTAGCCCATCTATTATGAATCCTGTCAAAGGCATACTTTTCAAATGATCAACAGATTCTTTTCTAGCTTCCAAGTTATAGCCACCCTCGACTGCACCCAAAATTCCTGTTGATTTCAATATATCTGAACTCTGATGTATACTTAAACACTGTTCCATTAAAGTTCTGCTACGACTAACAGCATTAGAGACTCGTTTTGCACTGCTATTGATATTTGTATCACCATCGCACAGAGCAACATACAGATCTGGTTTCAAATTTTGTACAAGCTCCATATATTTATTAGCTGTAAGTCTAGATCTTCCTGTTCTGGACCAAATTGAGATGGAATCCAGTTGCTGAAAACCAGAATTAGTAGTATACGCAGGATCATGAATCGATAAAAAATTGATGTAGTCCTGAAACAAGTGGAAATTGTTAAACAATCAATAATAGAATAAACTATTATGCATTATCTCAATTAATATTTACGTTTATACTATACCTTCATGCCAACAAAGTCAGCAAAAGAAATATTGAGTTCTTTAATACTATCTGCCATTAAAATAGTAGAACTAAGTGAGACAGATAATAGATGTTGCTCTGAAGTTACCATTTTAAATACATCCTTTGTTAAATGTGGTACACTGCCACCCTAAAAATTATTCCAATGTGAAAAAAAATAAAATATTCCAATACAAAAAATTCCAATGTAAACAAAAGTAAAAATATATATAATAAGACGTTTAACACGACAATAGCTAATTTCTTAAAAGTAAAAAATCCAAAGTAACTTTTATATGAGTTCTTGGTATCTTCATAAAAAATCAAATATTTTGTAAATTACTTTATATCCTACTACATACATTTGTGTAATATTCTTTTCATATAACATTCTGTTTGAGAAAATTTACGATTATCATAAAAAAATGCATTACTTTAGGCAATTATAATTTATTTGCTTTTTACCTTAGTGTAAATGAGAAGTAGAGGTGTTTCGAAAAAAATATTAGGAAATCTTTCAAATCCACTTAATGTACCAATTCGTGCAGCACAACATGCTACCGATTCAGTGAAAAACGTCACTTTCATTATAAATTATTCTATTGATTAGATTTTTATTTGATTGTTTTTTATCTTTTATTTACGAATAAACTCGACATGAATTATAATTATTAATACATTCTTTATTTACGCTGAAAATCAAATATAATTACTTCAGTATCTCTGTACAAATTAACTCTCTCTCTCTTTCTCTTTCTGTGTCTCTCTCTCATCCCTTTTGGTTACAGACGCAGATGTCTATACTAAACTCACAGGTATCTACACTAATGGCTCCTGCACACAGGACGCGGTAATGCTTGCCGCGCGACGAAAGTTTGCGTGACAGCCAATCAATTAGCTGTTTTCCGTAATAACCTAGCTCTTACGGAAAAACTACATATTGATTGGCTGTCGCGCGGATTTCCGCCGCGCGGCAAATATTACCGCGTCCTGTGTGCAGGAGCCATAATGCTGCGTTCGGAAACGTCTCTCCCTCTCTTTTTATCTCACTCTTGTATTTCGCTCACTCCAATGGCTATCGTCTAGTAGTGTGCACACAGTGGATGTTTACGATAATTCGAGTTGGAGTTAGTATAAGTTAGTTTCACTAGAGCCGAAAAATATGATAGTCACAAGCATCTAGTATTTTCATGATTCATGATAACTCAATGCTGTCCGATAAATCGAATAAGGCTGCGTTCAGATCCCTTACCCGAGTGCACTCTAATACAAGAAGTGCTATAGTATATGTAACATATACTATAGTGTTTCTAGTAACAGAGTGCGCCCGGGTAGGGAATCTGAACGTACCCTAGAATGACCACGGTACGATTGGACACAGGGAGCGGTGCACTTGGACACGGTGCATTTGGACACAGCCAATCACAGCACCGTGTACTTAGAGACATTTGTAGGGTCCCTTGAAACAGCGACTTGTGATTGGACTGTGTCCAATTGCCCCTTGTCCAACTGATATACACCTTTGGACACAGATTATAATGATTGGTTCGATCTGATAATTCACTAGATAATCTTTTCATCGATTGGTGGTGTCCAATCGTACTGTAGTCAATCCAAACGCTCCCGAGTAGAGTAGAGTTATGGCTTTTGTAGCTCTATTCTGTAACTCATTATTGAAGTTAACGATAACGAAACTGTTGTTAACTCCAATAACGAGTTACAGAATAGGGCTACTACATACAGGACGCGGTAATGTTTGCCGCGCGGCAGAGTCCGCGCGACAGTCAATCAATATGTTGTTTTAGGAGCTAGAAGGTTATTACGGAAAGCAGCATATTGATTAGCTGTCGTGCAAACTTCCGCCGCGCGGCAAGCATTATCGAGTCCTGTGTGCAAGAGCCATTAGAATAGCATAGCGAATAGTATATGTCAGGGCTGCACAACTGGCAGCCTAGTAGCTACGCTTGGCTATTACTTTTATTCCACTTCCTTCATTCGTAGCGGAGAAACGCTCCCCACTTTCGTCTAAAGCGCTGGCGGGACAGCCGCTAGAGTAGTGGTAGTAATGTCGATCCGTGTATCGACCGTTTCGTCTTTCGCTCAAGGCACAGCTTGAAGCTTGACACAGCTCGTTTATTTCGTATTTACGTACGCATTGCGGGAATTATTACATAATTTTCAATATGCAGCGGCGAAAAATTGATAAAGAAAATAGACATTTTCAAGATAATTGGAAGTATAAATATTTATTTATACCTAATGATTCAAACGTACAAATGCTTCATACTATTTGTGACAACTTCTCATTCACATTACGCACTTGTAGTTATTTATTTACTGAACGGTATCTCATGTTTGACGACAGCACGCCGATACTAAACATATGAAACGGAGCCAAGCGTACGTATGTAGTGGTAGGCGCGCGGTCAGTGGTGGGGATGACGGAAATATCGCAGCGTTACTACTAGTCGGCTCGACTGAGTTGTGCAACTCTGATACAAGGGGTGCTTTCCAGCGTACACTGTGTTACATAAAACCAGTTTATTGGTTGCATATTATCTTACAAGATATTTTAGATAATATGTGATATAAACTGGTTTTGTGTACGTGTGTGTCAGGATATGTTAAATAATTGGAAAGCACCCAATGTGAGTCAACGTGGCCATCAAATTACTGTCTTGGTTTACATCGTGCATTTGATATTTGTACTAAATAGTAACTTTCTATTAGATAATCTTAATATCGACGCTATATATAAACAACGGTATATTAAGCTGCTATGATACTCATCAACAAAACATATTGTATTGATTGAATGCGTCGCCGTTGATATGTATTGTCGATATTAAGATTATCTAATAGAAAGTTACAATTTAGTACGCGTATCAAGCACGATGTAAACCAAGCTACGGTCGTAAAACCAACAATGCCAGTATCTTATTGCATCAAAAAATGTCATAAAAAAATAGATAGTATTGGACGTTATTTGCTCTGTTCATTTCCAACAAAAGAATTTTATGACTAAACGTAGTGAAAATATGGGTTAGGCGACAATTTCCCGAAAAGTGGAGGGGATAATGTTGGTACCAAAGAAAATCTCTACACGATATAATTTTAATTTCTATAGATTAGTACCACTGTTTAAGTAGCAGGTCTGTAGTTTACGTAGCCTTTTTGACAAATGTGCGTGTGTGTAAATAAAAAATATTATACAAATATAACATATCAAAATGTAAATGTAAAATATATTGCAGTATTTCATTAAAATAAAAATAAGTAAAAATGACAAATAAGCGAAAACATAAAGTACGCAGAACATAATAAGTGAGACAAATAAGTGAGAATATAAAGTGAAGGAGGTAAAAAACAATGATAAATATATGTATGTATGTATGTATATACGTTCGTACATACATACATACGTACATACACACAAACACACATACACACACATATATACACATGCATATGTGGATAAACAATAATTATATGTAATTGAATAATTTTAGTTTTTCAGTGTTTTGACGTATCTCTTTAAATACCACTCATAGTTGTGGCATAGTTTTTCGCAGAAGAATCAATTTGCTATCATTGTCATCAACAAATATATATCAGATAAGTACTTAATATTCACATAAGATAAAAGATTAAATATTTATGTGTTGTTTATAATTATAGATGTTGTCGAACCGATTCTTTTCTTTGATTTATTTTTCTTCAGTTTTCCATATGCTCGCAGAATGTTAATAACTGGAGAACAATTCTCTGCAGAGTAAGGTTGCCAAATTCTGAGACTACTATCCTCGAATGTGTCCTAGTTGTAAGGAAAAGTTGAAATGACATTCTAACATCAAATATCTGTCACTAGCAATGCGACGACAGATAGAGGAGAGCAGGATCGTAAAATTGATGTTTACTATCATTTTTTCATCGATACTTTCGACAGTATACTTGATGTTTATTATCACTTTGTCATATAATTTACTGACTGATGTATGTTTCTTATCCTTCAGCAAACAGGATTTGTTGCCAATAGTTGCCTCTACAAATATAATTCTTAGGATTTGAGATCTGGTTTGGGAATATGTTGTTTCCCCAAAAATTAAGGATCAGTCCTTAAAGGAAACAACTGCTGCAAGATGGAAAATAAAAATAATGTATTGTGCATAGAAGATGAATGAGCCATGAGAAATGAAAGAATCGCAAGTATGTGAAACAAAGAAAATTAAAAGAAGAATAAAAGATGAGAGCATGTTTATAAATTTATTTTTTTCCTACTAATTCGGATAGTTCGTATAAAATTAATAACATCTATCTCTTTACTATTTTCTATTTTCTTTAAAATTGTTAGAAAATATTCCTCCTTTTTTTTGAAAATCTTGCTCTCAGATCTTGACCAAAATATGGGACAGTTAATCATAGTATGAATGCTTTTTTGATGTTCTGTCAAGTTTGCTGTAAGTAACATTGAATTATAACAGTAAAAATATTTTGGAAATGAATGTAACACAGTGTTTACAATATACCTAAATATGCGGCGATTGTAGAATGCTTATTTAGCTTTTCTTTGAGTTCTCTATTATGTTACTCTGATATATTATTGGTTCTGTATAATCGTTTGTATACACGGAACGACTCGGGTTTAAAACCCTTAATCCATGTTTCTTCATAATACTTAAAAAATGGTTTAACATATTCGCAATTAGCAAAAATAATCGTTGAAATTACGTTGAAGCTTTCCTCTATTAAAGCTTCAAGGGACAACAAGGTTAAAGATATTAATAATTTTATAACACTATATCTTAAATCTTGGTCCTTTCCGTTCTTTAGTATTTTATGCTTTTTTGCATTACGTACTAACGCTTGTAATAAGGAACTCATATAAGGAAAAGTGACGTGTATTTCATGTTTATTATGTACGTTATTTTTTATATAATTGAAAAAGACACTCTATATAAATATACGATAAAGAAAATGTTTCTCAAATTTCAGATAATTCCAATTGTTTACACAATAATGAAAGATCGCACTACTAAAAACTATATAGGAGTTTTAAATAAAATGTGCAATATCATTCGAATCCAACCAAATATAGCAACAGCAGATTTTGAAAGAGCGGAACAAAACGCGCTACAAACAGTTTTCCGTGGCATTAAAGTCATTGGTTGCTTTTTTCATTACAATCAGGTAATAAAAAATAACGTACATAATAATAAGCATGAAATACATGTCACTTTTCCTTATATGACTTCCTTATTACAGACGTTAGTACATAATGCAAAAAAGCATAAAATACTAAAGAACGGAAAAGACTAAAATTTAGGATATAGTGTTATAAAATTATTAATATCTTTAACCTTGTTGCCCCTTGAAACTTTAATAGAAGAAAGCTTCAACGTAATTTCAACGATTATTTTTGCCAATTGCGAATATGTTGAACCATTTTTTAAGTATTATGAAGAAACATGGATTAAGGGTTTTAAACCCGAGTCGTTCTGTGTATACAAACGATTACACAGAACCAATATATATCAGAGCGACATAATAGAGAACTCAAAGAAAAGTTAAATAAGCATTCTACAATCGCCGCATTTTTAGGTATATTGTAAACACTGTGTTACATTCATTTCCAGAATATTTTTACTGTTCTTATAATTCAATATTACAGCAAACTTGACAGAACATCAAAAAAGCATTCATACTACGATTAACTGTCCCATATTTTGGTCAAGATCTGAGAGCAAGATTTTCAAAAAAAAGGAGGAATATTTTCTAAAAATTTTAAAGAAAATAGAAAATAGTAAAGAGATAGATGTTATTAATTTTATACGAACTATCCGAATTAGTAGGAAAAAAAATAAATTTATAAACATTCTCTTATCTTTTATTCTTCTTTTAATTTTCTTTGTTTCACATACTTGCGATTCTTTTATTTCTCATGGCTCATTCATCTTCTATGCACAATACATTATTTTTATTTTCCATCTTGCAGCAGTTGTTTCCTTTAAGGACTCATCCTCAATTTTTGGGGAAACAACATATTCCCATACCAGATGTTGAATTTTAAGAACTATATTTGTAGAGGCAATTATTGGCAACAAATCCTGTTTGCTGAAGGATAAGAAAAGGATAAGGAAGGATACATCAGTCAGTAAACTATATGACAAGGTGATAATAAACATCAAGTATATTGTCGAAAGTGTCACTGAAAAATGATAGTAAACATCAATTTTATGATCCTGCTCTTCTCTATCTGTCATCGCATTGCTAGTGATAGATATTTGATGTTAGAATGTCATTTCAACTTTTCCTTACAACTAGGATGCACTCGAGGACACAGTAGTCACAGAATTTGGCAACCTTACTCCGCAGAGAATTTTTTTCCAGCTATTAACATTCTGCGAGTATATGGAAAACTGAAGAAAAATAAATCAAAGAAAAGAATTAGTTCGACAACATCTATAATTATAAACAGCACATAAATATTTAATCTTTTATCTTATGCGAATATTAAGTACATATCTGATATATATTTGTTGATGACAATGATAGCAAATTGATTCTTCTGCGAAAAACTATACCACAACTATGAGTGGTATCTAAAAAAATATGTCAAAACACAGAAAAACTAAAATTATTCAATTACATATAATTATTGTTTATCCACATATGCATATATTATATATAGAGTACATACATACATAGTATAGTACATACATATAGTATATATATATGTGTGTTTGTGTGTGTGTGTGTGTGTGTACGAACGTATGTACATACATACATACATATATTTATCAGTTTTTTTTTTACCTCCTTCACTTTATATTCTCACTTATTATGTTCTGCGTACTTTATGTTTTCGCTTATTTGTCATTTTTACTTATTTTTATTTTAATGAAATACTGCAATATATTTTACATTTACATTTTGATATATTATACTTGTACAATATTTTTTATTTACACGTGCACATTTGTCAAAAAGGCTACATAAACTAACCTGCTACTTAAACAGTGGTACTAATCTATAGAAATTAAAATTATATCGTGTAGAGATTTTCCTTGGTACCAACATTATCCCCTCCACTTTTCGGGAAATTGTCGCCTAACTCACTTACGTATATACATAGACCAAGCATTCTGTCTGCAAAGTGGTACCGGAAGTTGGCAGTTTAACCCTTGTGTACGCACCCAACTTTACCAACGTTCGGACGCACCCCGGTGCCCACCTCTCATTTTTTCAATTTTTTCAATATTTATGCAATTGAAATGGTTTCCTTAACGTTTATCTCAGTAAATAAACATAAAAAATGAGAGGCCGAAGCATTTGTAAATAAATTGGCCTGCTGTAGCTCGTACAAAGGTAAGAGAAAACAGGATTTTTGAAGTCGACGCAGGTAGCGCGCGGTTACTAAGGCTGCCAGGCAGTCAGCT